AAACACAACTGATACTGCTGATGCTGTCTTGTTAAATACGCTACTCTCTGTCCTTGCAGTGGAACCCTGATCAATTTTTTCAGAAATAGCTGTGCCACTTTTCAACAGCCTAAACAAACTGCACTATGGGTTTCAGAAATAGCTGTGCCACTTTTCAACAGTATTTACATTGAGCTTTGTTTTGTTGTGTATCGAGTTGACTCAAACCAAAGTATGCCCACAGGACCAACTTGGCATCTTTACCAGCTTTTTCATCTTCACATGACCATGTTGCATTTTATTTTGTCTGAGTGATACAGGAGTGTTTTCATATGGTTAATCACACCATTTAAAACAGCTAGGTGGAATAATGCTGACTCCACTTAAACATACACAACAAACTGGAGACCACCTTGCGATGGAATTACTACTCATTGCTACATTATTACATGAGCACTCAGTAACTGTTACTTCAGTATTACATGAGTACTCAGTGTTTATTAATTCATTATTACATGAGTAATCAGTACAGTAGTAAGCCCTACATTATTACATGAGTACTCAGTACAGTAGTCCTAACTACATTACAACATTATAACATGCACACTCAGTGGTTATCACTTCATTGTTACATGAGTACTCATTATTAGTTGTTGGGTATTTGATCCATCCATTCATGCTGACTGACCGCAAACCCGACACATTTTGGTGGAGCAGTTTATACTGGAGGTTATATCAAATTGGATGGTGCAACACTGCTAATATGACAGCTTCATCCATTTTAGATTGTCTGTCAAACATGTTAGCTGTGAAGGCGCCCTTAGTGATTGGAATTGGTCACAGTCACTAGCAGGCTCTCTGTTTCCTCAAAGGTCAGCACTGTCCAAATGGTATAACTCTCACCCAAAAAAATATACTCTCTCTATCTCGTGTTTAAAACCAAAATCAACATAAAGCATATGACAAGGTCAGTCATACAATTCGACAGTACCTCCAACAAAACAAAGATGTACAACATAAACAATCATTGCAATACATCTTAAAACATACCTCCGTCCCCTTCTGGGGTTTACCACTATTCTGATCAGTACCTTATTGTGAGTTTTCCTCCTATATCTCCATTTTGTATGAAATCATTAAATGGCTTCCGAATTTCCTCGTAAGCATCCAATTTCGTTTTCAAGTTATGTTATTCTCTCCATGGACATCCATTGCGCCATATTCATGATCCAAGCATCAGTTGTAGGTGGTGTGTCAGTAGTTTAATCCAAGCGAAAGCTTCACACAGCTTTACTAACTTTAACGTGCTAACTGTTATCATTCCACTGGAATGATTTCCTGTTTTGAATAGTGGTGTGACTATGCCCTCGGATAGTTCTCATTGGTCAAAGAGCTGCTGGTTTAGTCAAGGTTGGAGTAATACATCTGTACTAATGTGTTGATAAAGATAATGCCAACACAAACTTTACATTTACAGCCACTGTGTGTAGGATTGGAAAACATTTCCACTTTGTTGACACTCAGTGGCACTCACAAAAAAACACACTGTAGCTGACAGCAATGCAAACCAATGCACCTTTGGTTTGACAGCAATGCAAACCAATGCACCTTTATGGATGTATAATCCATAAACCAATGTCTTTATGGATTATACATCTCCATTGTGAATTATTTTCCATTTAAAACTAAATGCACCTTCAATAGAAAACTAATATCAGTGGACCTCATCACACATTACTATTCACACATCAGAACACTGCACTCAAATACAGCAAGGTTTACTGTCATGAGAAGAGTGTCAGTGTTTTTCTCTTCATTGATATTTAAAATGAGATAAAAGAAGCAGATGGGACAAGAGCTCTATGATATCAATGGGACTGGGGACATAGTCAGTGAGGGGACAAATTAATTAGTGCTGACTCAGTCATTGGGCAGAAATGATCCTATCATGTCATACATCATATTCAAAAACATAATACAAGGTTAAACAATGTTAAAGGGTTTATTTGCTACATACTCATATTTCTCAGTATACACACTGTTGCTCATAAAGTTGGAATAAAATATTTTTTACCTCTTTCCATGAAATGATTGTGACAATGTGATTTATTTCATTTCACCTGGGTAATTGGGACACATAATGTAATCATTGCACCTGGTCAAAAGTGATTACTGATGCATTTAAATAGGAATAAACAGAGGATTGGGTCTGAAAACAAACAAAATTATTCCAACTTTATGGGCAACAATGTATATATATTCATATAAATATATACATATATACATATATATATATATATATATTATACTGAGAAATATGAGTATGTATATATATAAATCCATATTTAAATACCACGTGGACTATTTATGTAGTTATTTATTTTTATCTTTATTATATTTTATTATTGTGTCTGTGTATATGTGGGTTCCCTATCTGGTCTTACTTATGCACACAACCAAACTGCCCTTGTGGAAGTTGTAATGATTGATTGATTGATTGATTGATTGATTGATTGATATTTACATTTATCACAAGAGGGACTGATTTCAGGGTGAATAATGTAAACCAGTGGAACCCAACCTTTTCCAACTCAAGGCCACTTGAAAATCTGAAAAATGTTGGCAGCCCACATCTGACCCCGTAACAAAACAGAGGCCACATAACACTTACTCAGAGCACTTTTTATTTTAATGATAACAATTAACCACTCAGGACTGAACTGAAACCAGAGTAAAAATATCGGTAGTGTTTTCTTTCATCACTATATTCACCATCTGTCTCTGACTCTTTCCTTTTACACAGAAACTGACCCCATGCTATTTGATGCTGGGGGATTAAGGATCCACAGAATGCAGAGTAGCCTGTGATGTGTATGTTATATTGAAAGCTCAGTCACAGAACAGACAATTAGGGAGTGAATAACATCATTATTACCAGCTATGACAGTGGGGCTGGTATTGTTTTAACCTTGTGTGTGTGTGTGTGTGTGTGTGTGTGTGTGTGTGTGTGTGTGGACTTATAAATGCTACATAGTGAGGCCCAAAAAAAGTATTTTCCCAACAGAGTGAGGACATTTTGTCCAGTATTCTCCTACCGAAATGCCATTTTGAAGGTTAAGACTTGGTTTAAGGGTTAAGGTTGGGTTTAGGTTAGGGTTGGGATTAGGATTAGGATTAGGCATTCAGTTGTGATGGTTAGGGTTAGGGAATGCATTATGTCACAAAGATGTAAGTACAAGTATGTGTGTCATGGCAGTAGGGGTGGGCGATATGACGATATTAGATCGTGAAGGATTACAACGTGAAGACGATCTTTCAAACTGCAGAGATCGTGGGATCGTCTAGGGCACATTCTATAAATTGCAGTTCTATGCTGATGCACCGACGCACCAGACGTATTGACGTCGTCAACCTGACCGACCAATCATAGCGGATTACGGGCAGTGACGCACTTTCCTACCCGCCTCCTTGTTTGTGTGTGTAGCGGTAGCACATGGAGAGCGATGGCTGAAAGCCAAACGGAGTTGGTCGCTAAAAAAAATTCCACCTCCATTATATGGAATTGGTTTGGATTTTCCGCAACTGATCAAGCGCAAGCAAATGTAATCTGCAAAGTTTGCACAGAAACCGTTCGCACGTCGGGTGGTAACACGACGAACCAGAATGTTGTTGTTGTTTACCTTAAACTTTACGTTGTTTGCACATGCAGGCAAAACTGCGACTATTTGAAATAAAATCTGTTAAGAAAGGTTCTTTGGTCTAAATTGTCTGTTTTTCTTTTTCCAATTTTAGATCGTGATAAAATCGGAATCGTGATTTTATTTTTAAAAAATCGTGATATGATATTTTTGCCATATCGCCCACCCCTACATGGCAGTACAGTAAGCAGTGAAAGTAGTGAAATGAGGGTCAGACCCAGTCTGCAAAAAAAAAATAAGCAAACATTCTTCTTGATATCATGAAAAATATCACAAATGACGGGAAGTATAGCAACATTTAATATTATCAAATATCAGCCCAAGCCTAAAGAGCTCACATTAATACAGGGCTAATGCAGCTACAGTTAGCCTCACTAACTGACCAGAGCCACTAGAAGTGTTGTGATGCTGTACAGTGGTATACCACAAGTGGTGGGGAGTGGTATCTGCCAGTGGAGCATGAGTAACACCAGCAAACCACAAGTCAAAGTGGTATACCACTAAAAATCAGCATATGACACTAAAACAAGACAGATAAGACATTAACCACCTTTCAATCTCAGCAACGCACAAAAACTGGTGCACTCTATCATCTGCTGGAAGGGGACAGAGTCATACATTTCAATATTGAACACACAGTTGCAAACACACAATAATAAAGTACTTTAAAAAAGGGTTTGATCAATATGGGATTTTGCAGAACAATTCTTGTATATTGTAAACTTCAGTTCCCAGTTCACAAGAATAGCAAATGATCAAGTGATCACTTGCTATTCTTGCAGTAAACCATGCAAGTCCCCTGAAAATACATCAACAAATATTCCTGCATTGCTTCTTTAAATGGTTCAGGACCAAGAGAGAACTGAATAAATAAAACACAGTCTTTTTTTCCCTCACTAACATTCATATAAACAGACAAGGTCCAAATAAAGACCTCTTTGCTGAGTTGATCATGGTGAACACCAGGTCCCCAGCAGTCTGTTGTCAGGGATTAAGTAGCTGCTATATTTTGCCAGAGAAAATCCTGTGCTCAGTATTGCTTCATATAAGGAGGTGACATTCTCCCCAGTTCATACACATGCACAAAGTCTCCAGCAGGCTCTGCACTCTGCCCAGCAGCCTTTCAACCTAAGCTAAAAGTCCTCGAGTCCTGCCGAACAGTCTGATCAAATTAAGCAACAGATTGGACAGCAGCCACAGTGAGGAGTCAGGGGCTAGGCTAGTCAACTATACCACATCCATCCATCCATCCATCCATCCATCCATCCATCCATCCATCCATCCATCCATCCATCCATCCATCCATCCATCCACCTTCAGTACCTGGACAGAGAGGAATGTGAGGAAGATGAAGACAGCCCTGCTGACGATAAATGATTCCATCTTCATCAGGTCAGTGTCTCTCTTCAACTGGGTGAGCGCCAACCTGTGTACAGGAAGTGATCACATCCAATCAAAACACTTTACAGCAGTATAGTGGTTGACTGTAGTATTAAAGCAACACCACAATACATCAAAATATACTGTGCAGTTAGCAATGCTGAAACCACTAGTTAGCAGGGCTGGATGAAGCCATTAGTGTGCCCCAGTGTAAAAGTGAGCTGTGGGCCCCTACTGACCCCCCACCCACAAAAATCTCTCCCTCTGTTCATTGTATAATGTATTAGATCAGTTAGTTGTGGTAACTTGATTAAGCACAAATGTGTTTAGTAAAACACATGTAAGAACACTTTAAGTGAAATAATTATAATAATTATCCCAAATGTTTCCCAGATTTTCAAACCTACAGATGCTAAACCTATGATTTTAACGCTCTGTTTTATTTGGTCGCCTGTGGTGTGGCTGTCTGGCTGAAGCTCAAATTTGACTTTTTATCCAGTTTTAAATCACATTTATAAGATACACTTTTTACATACAGTATATATACATACATATATACAAGCAATCTATATATTTTAATCAGATTTTCGTCAGCGGACATCTGGACCTTAAGTTATCAGAGAAAAAAGATGAGTGAATTTTAGACAGCTCAGCTCTCAGCTGCTGGAGACGTCCTGTTCTGTGTCTGCCGAATAGCGTTGGTGAAACACTGACTTTAAATGTCAAACTGCTTTATTCAGTGTTTCACTGGTATAATCTGCATGTCTGTTCGGCTCCTATGCGGATAAATCAGCTGCTGATAAAAACCTCCTGAACTACTGACTCTGAAGGAATCCAAACCAGGAGAAGCTGATGGTAATGGTGGTAAGTCAGCAACTCCCATGATCCCACGCTACTTAACAATGTCACATAAAGCTGTCTTTTGTTATTGTTTTGATTGAGAGACCCCTAGAGGCAGAAGTTACACACTGTGCGTTTAAAGGGCCACTCTCCTCAGCCTGTGAACACAGTTCTGTAACATAGTCTGTGTTTGTGGAGGAGCTTTGTCAAGTCTGACAAGATCATGCATAAAATCAGTGTTTGTAGAGTTTGAAGTTTGGCTATTAAAAGATGCTACTGATATGCATTATAGAAAATCTAGGCTCCAGTATTTTTAGAGCCATCTGGCTTTCAAAGCCAACAGTATGGAAACTTTCCCCACCCAACTTAATCACCCTTAATCAAGGTTTTAATTCAGGGGCCCTCCACAAGATGATGCCTCAAAATGATGTGACACTACAGGTGTTACTTTACTTCAGGTGAGAAGCTGCTGAAGTGGTGGAAACAGTATGACCAAACAAATTTACAATTAATGAAATGACTACATGGTGAACCAGGACTGCTTGATTAGCATGAGGGTGTGTTCTAATTAATTATAAATTAGCTGTGATTATTTTTTTAATATTCTTGTCTTTATTGCAGGACAAAAAGACAGAATGTAATATACAAAACCAGATCTTCAAACTTGATATTCAGTTTATCCTGTAAATCAGCCATTGATAGAAAAAGACCAAATATTAGATTGTTACAGCTTCTTAGAGATGAGAATATAAATAACAAATAAATAAGGTTTTATTTCACAACATCAATTTGGAGAATTGGGGCTTTAAAATGGACATTTCATTTCATTATTATTTGACAATATATAGGTGAAATGAGCCTATCACTGATTGATTGGTGGGATTAATGAATCATGAAGACAATTGATAGAGTAGGCTATTGCCCAAACTGGTGTGAAACTCGCTCATATATATGTGAATATGTGAAATGCTGATGCTGATGTAGACGCTGACAGGGAAATTCACCTGCATCCAGAAGACTGTTCGGTGCTACGGCGACAGCACGGACGTGGATTTTGTTTTGTGAGTATGCGAGTATCCATCATGCAGCGTGTGCAGAGATACAGCGACTTTCTCACCGGGTGAATCCAGCATTAACGGTCCCTCACGGGCGGCAGTTGCTGCAGGGTAACGGCGGTGTTTTACAACCTGATGTGTGTTTGTTTGAGGAGAAATTAACACCTTACCTTGTGAGGGGGAGAGGTCCTGCGCTCCCTATGCGCTCATGTGGAGATGTAGCATCAGGTATTCTCCAAAAACAGTCCGATTATCCACCTAGTCCCGACCCCGTGTCCATACCCGAGTCCAACACAGAAACGCCCAGAAAGTGACCAAGAGACACCGGCTGTCAGTCCGGCTGTCTAACTGATCAACGCGCCGGTACCAAGTGTCTCCGGTGAAGTGTCTCCGGGCTCCGAGCGGCGCACAGTCCCGTCCGTCTGACACACAACTTGGGACCAGAGTCAAGTTAGACACGGATATATAGCTTCCGCTCATCACTTTCAAAGTAAAACACTGACAGGTATTTTTGTTAAACCATCTCTGTTTACGTTGGTTAGTCTTTTTGTTATTATATTTATATTATGTATATTTATTGAAATAATGCATCAGCCATACTCTAATTGGAGATACTAACATTTTTGTGAATTCTTCTATTCTCAAAGTAAAGGCAAAAGCCCATTCAACATGTCCTTGTGTGTCCCCATATGAGTTAGCGCAAACGTGGTCTGTGGATGTGGGCCTGACCTTGACTTATTTGTGTGGGTCCTTATCATCCCATGTCCCATGGTACAAACCATGTCCCATGGAGTAAGCCCACATGGCTTACTGGTACCATAAAGATGAAAAGCAGAGTAGGACTGCACCCATATATGCCAGATGTGTGAACTTAACATGTGTCCCAAATGGTCAACACAGTCCATCACAGCCTCTGGTTATATAAATGTAATTTATCAAAGGGAAATTTATTCAGTGTAATATGTTTGGTTTTGAGGGTGCAAACATGCATCAAGACATTTAATTTCTTTCTGTTTTAAGGTCATTTGTGACGTCAGACGGTGATTTCTACAGTATGTGCTTAATGCTTTTCTTTGCTGGTAGGACTTTTTAACATTCTCGCAGGGGACTGTTGGTTAAAATGAAGCTCAGTCTGGAACATATTCTTAATAAATGTTGTAGTTTTTTACAGTCACACTTGTCCCAGTACCATCTCCTCATCTTTAAATCTCTTCACACAGTGAGCTTTTGAAAAACACACTTGAGCACATCAGTTAACATTTGGAGCAAAATGTTCCCAACAACTATAACACATGTTCTCTCCCATACCACTGCTCTGTCACTCAATGTACAATGAACTAAAGAACACAAACAACTACTGTAAAATACATTTATTATGTGTTTCGCGCTCCTTGAATTTTGCATCCACAGATATTTCAAGCCAAGCAGCTAAAGAAACTTTTGATCTGTTGGTCTGCCCCTCACAGCTGATGTCATGGCTGAGTGTGGTAAAGTTACAGGAACGAAAGTTTTACTGTATCACAAACCAAGAAAACCACTTTTACCATGTAATGTAAAACAATATATGATAAAGGAACAAACCAACCATATTCTCCAGTGGGCTTGACTGTGTTTGTTTTCACAGTGCAGTAGGAAAGAATAAAACAATACAATCAATCACCCAAAATACATTACAACCAATAACAAAAAGCATGTGCAGGTAGGCCATTAGTGACAGCCAGATGTTTCAGCAGAACATATACAGCGGTAATAGTGGCAACTACATCTATATTTTCCCTGTATACAAGCACATTTCAGTATGACCATGTTTGTGTAGATAGGAACAGGGCTGTAATCAAAAGAACTGAATAAACTTTCTGCTAAAATCTGAATAATCTGTCTTACTTCAAGCAAATAGTTCCATTTATTTCCATCCACAGTGATCTGAAGTTTGTTTGGTTTTAAACTGACAGTGAACTGTTCTGAACAGAGAATCTAAAAATCTTCAAATCTGCTGTAGTTGTACAAAATGTTGCTGGTAGTGAAACTAACTGAGAGGGGTGTTCATGTAGAAGCGGTGGTTGATCAAAGCAATACAAACGTTAAGGTCACATAGTCTGATGTGGTGAATGTGTTTTGAAAAAGTGGACATGTGAAAGTGATGGTTAAAACTGTAATGTCACTCTAGCACATTGATCTGTAGGCCAATGTCCCTGATAGTTATGGAATAAAGTTTTGTTTGCTTTTCTAATTTGTATTTAGTCGAACTTACCATTTTTTGTGAGAAAACTGCCATGATTACATTTTTATTGTTTACATCTCAAATTCATTTTACTTCCTAAGGGGAGTAAAACCCTACTCTAATTCTGAAGGATAAAACAGATCACTTCCTGGTTGTCTCTAGCAACTTGACACAGTGCTGTAGGCGAGTCTGATGACCAACCCCTCTGTCCCATGTGGTGTGGGGGAGCAGAGAGCATGTGGAGGAGCATTCATCTCCATCACTCCTATTGTATTCCTACAGTCACTGAACTAGTCCTTGTTGTAGAGCTGCATGCTTAGCTTCTCTGTCCATCTGTAATGCTGTTCTTATAATGTTTAGGCTTATATGTCAGTGGTGGTGTCAGACCTGACATAATACTTCATGGTGTTTTCTTTGTTCCATTTTATATAAGACATTTTATATTACATATTTGCATGGATACATCAACAGATGAGCAGTTGTCGAGAAAATCTACAGATAGACAGAGTTAGATAGTTAGATATTTGTGGTGGAGAAAAGAAACTGTACATTTCTCAATTACTGTACTTCAAGGACACGTTCACAAGTCTATCTTCAAACTATAAATGATTTGGTTGTAGTAGGTAGGTAGTGACTCTTTCTGTCCATACAGGTTGTGAAGTGATCTCTTCCAAAAGCAATTTCAATGTAAAAGATGGAAAAATATGCACAGATATTTGTCGTGTGCAAGAATGAGTTGAGTATGTGAGTGAGTGTCTGCTAGAGAGAAGGTTCCCTCTTTGTGATTTTTGTGGTAACTTTGACATGGTATCCTCATTTAATTCACCTTATGCTTTACATCATCATCAATCATTTTATACATTATAATGCTTGTTATAGATGAAACCCAGCAGTTTAAGAAGCTAAAAGTTAATCATGAATGTTCATTTTTGACACTCAAGACATTAATTTAACAAAAATATGTATAATTAAATGTATAATTAAAAACGTGATCACATATACTACATTGAATATGCAGCCGCAAAGTACAACCTCCATTCCATAAAAGTGAGTACCCTTGACCACTGCAGCGACAGTCACTTGACCTGTGACAACTGAAATTAGTCAGTTAACCTGTGGCAACTGAAGTAAAACAGTTAACATGTGACCACTGCAGCAAGTCAGTTTACTTGTGACCACTGCAACAACTTCGGTTACACCTGAAATTTCCAGCTGAGGCTAACTGCGTGAACAAGGTTATGAAAGCTCTCTCTCAAATTAAATCGAAGGCAACTGGACTTGTATTTGTCTGTGGAAGACGTTTCGCCTCTTATCCAAGCGGCTTCATCAGTTCATCATGTATTGGTCTCTCTAGTCTGCTCTAGGCTGACCAATAAATTAAAGTAGGACCCAGGCAGTTAACCTCTTGTGGGTGGGTCCACCAAAGTACCTGTGAAAGTACTCACCTGACCATTGTTGTGGTCAGGTGAAACCAGTACTTTCACAGGTACTTTGGTACTTTGCCTTCGATTTAATTTGAGAGAGAGATAACTATGACCTGGACGAATGAGAACATTCACAGACAAAGGTTATGAAAGAACTTCCATCACATCTGCAATAGTGGTTGGGAGGTAGAAAAAGACCCATATTACCAACAACCCTCATCCTCAATAAATGACACACAGCTCACTGTTTACACAACTGTGCATTGAAAAACAGATGGTAAGAGCTTCTGACTTGGCACCAGGATTATCTGTGGAGTTCCAGTGACTGATCAGACAGTGAGAAGAATACTGCATGAAGGGGACTCATGGCGTCCAAGATGATTAAACTTAGCCAAGGAAAAAAAGCCTGAAGAGTGTAGGTAGCTCATTCTTTGCTCAGATGAAACCAAGATACATTTGTTTGGATCTGATGTGGTCCAGCATGCTTGACAAGGACCACCACTGTAATACAGGGCAGCATGAGAGCAATCAGTGTAAGGGAGATGACATTTAAACATGCAGGAGAGGGTTTTCCCAAGATGACACACACACATTATGACCTGAGAAAACATGTCCCCTATGGAGTATTTGAAGCAGGAGACTTTAAATCAAATATCTTATGGCAACATGACATCTACATAATACCTTGACATGAAAAATTTGGCTCCTATATGTTGGCCTCAAATTGTTCTTGTAGGCAAACAAAACAATTACAACTTTCAACATGAAAGGAGCCAAAAAAAACCAAAAGCCCATTCAAAACACCAAAAAAGTTCATTTAAACTCAAAATCCAAAAGCAAAATAAGTTTTCCATCTTCCATCATCATCAGCAGTGTGTGTGTGTGTGTCATAGTGAAGCAGTCTTATGTAGGGGCCTCCAGCAGCAGACAAAACTTTGAGATGGCCTGCTAAGAGTGTTTTTAGTTTTTACTTGAACTTGTTTGACCAGTCCTCTGGAGTCAGGCAAGATCTGTGGTGACCATGGCCAATTTGGAGATGATTATCCATGATTTTATTTCTACTCGTTTAGACGATTGTAATGCTCTTTTAACCTGTCTGAATCAAACCTCTTTGAATCATCTCCAAACCATCCAAAATGCAGCTGTCTGGCTTTTAACCTGAAATAACAAGAGAACACACATCACACCAATTTTATCCTCCTTCCACTGGCTCCTGATCAAATTCTGCATTCCAAAATACTGGTGCCCATCTTTAGAGCCTTGCATGGTCAAACACCTCAACTACTACTACTACTACTACTGGCCGTCCCTCGACTCGAGGCGACCATGCTTTTCAAGCCGTGGCTCTTAATTTATGGAACGCCCTCCTATCCCTGCGATCTATAGGCTCCTGTGATGGCTTCAGCAAGCAGCTGAAAACATTTTCATTCAGACAGGCTTTTGGTTAGTCTATTTGACTACCTCCCCCTTTTATTGTGTAGCTCTTTACTTATCTTATTGCTTTTATTGTCATATTCTAATTTATTTTATTGCTCTTTATTTACTTTACTGCTTTTACTGTCATATTTCTTGAACTTGTGTATGTTTTATGATGTAAAGCACTTTGTGATTTTTATCTGTGAAAGGTGCTATATAAATACATTTTTACTTACTTACTTACTTACTGTCCTCGGATCCAGAAGTTGCGAGAGGAGGTATCATTGACGATGAGAACAACATCACCAGGGACAAAGCTCCTCCTCTTATGGATCCATTTTTGACATTCTTGTAATTCAGGCAAGTACTCCCTATTCCATCTCTTCCCAAAAAGGTCAGCCATATATTGAACCTGCTGCCTTCTGTGCCTAGAAGAGCAGTCTTCTGGCTGGAATACTCCAGGGGATGTGAAAGGCTTGGTGTTAAACAAAAGGAGGTGGTACATACATATAAACAAAAAGAAGAACTCAAGATCCACTTACTGGCTTTTCTTGATGTTATTGCATCATAATCCTATATTATCATATACAATAATATAATACTAATGCTCATTCTGCCAACATAATGCCCACTTTTATTTTCATATTTAATACTTTAATACTTAAAGAGCATTTTAATAAAATAATTCTGCACATTTCCTGAAGTAAATGTTTGAATGGACATGATATTTGCTGGACTGTTGATGATGGTGAAACTATTTCTTAGTGATGGCATCAAGCTCCAGACAAATAATGAAAATCATTACTAGCTTTATTATCATGATCCTAACAGAATATTTTCTGTGCAGCCCCATGTTTAGAGGATACATCTGGAGTTATTGTGCATTTTTCTGATTTTCAACAAATTACATTAACAGGTCAAAACCATCAATGAATGGATCCTACCAACAAGTACTGTAAGTGTGTAAGTGTGTATCCAAAGCCAAACCCTGATGTACCGTGTTCCAATGTGCCACATACTGTATGTAGTTTACTTAGACTCAGTTCATACACTGACCTTCTGCTTCCAGAGATAGATGAGGGTTGAAATGAAAGTGATTATTGTAGTGAAGTGATCTGCTCTGCTCACCTCCCAGTTAGAGCAGTTTCACATCCAGTTGCCTGGTTTCTGTCAGCATCCATCATTCACCTGATCACAATACACACACTCTTATCATTCCCAGAGCTGAGCCAAACCAAGCTCCCTGCCATCCAGAGGTAGGATCAAAGGATCAAAGGATGTGTGTATGCCCCCCCCCCCCCCCCTCCAGGCTTTTATTATGAGGTGAAGAATATAAGCTGGCAGAGTATGAGGGGATTGGTCTTAACTTTGACTAATGAGAACATCAAAAAGCTTCAGTCAGCAAACAACCTCAAGGTCCTCAGTTTGCACAGCTCTGCTCTGTGGAGACATGCTGTACATATGAGGGGTGGATGGATGATGGTTTTGTACTCATATACATTTGAATTGACTGCATTATAATACAAGTATATAGTAGTATATTTATACATTTAGTCATGCACAGTCAATATACCAGTCAGTATTACAGTTATTTAGAAGCAACCAACAAATACATTAGACTGTATATAAATAGATGGATGTTACATTATACAAACTCATTTATTCTATTAGAAGAAATGGAGAGGGGGTTGTAGCCAAATCAGTGGTCTGTCCACTGACCATGGTTGCTAAAACAGACCACTGGTTACTACCACTAGGGGCACTGAAGATAGTGGTCTTGACCACAAGGACCACAAGTACCACACCATGGACCACAGAACAACTGGTCTGGACCAAAAGGACCATATGGATTCACTGGTTCATATTAACAGTTCAATAAAACTGCAATATATAGTGCAACAATAAGAATATCTGCTGAGACTAATCGATAATAGAGTATAATAACAGACAAAACATTATGATCTCTGACATTTGTTCAGCTAACAGCGTTGCCAACACATCCAGAGAACGGAAAAGGTGAATTAGAACCACAAAAACCACTCCACAGACCACTCAGTAACTAGCCTGGACTACTATCTTCAGCACCCCTAGTGGTAGTAACCAGTGGTCTCTTTTAGCGACCATGGTCAGTGGACACTAGACCATTGATTTGGCTGCACACAATTGTGTGTGGTGGAGGTCTGGCGCCCCCCTTCAGCCAGGCATGTACAACAACATTTAATTTACTCTCATAAATCACTAATGGAAACGATCACATACTGTCTGATATTATTATTTACAATACTCACACATTTCACTAATTTTTAAGTTTAGGATGTGTCAGTATAAGTAGTCTATGACATTGACTTCATTTTTCACTTTTTCACTCTGTTCCTGCTGACCCGACTGAACGTGTTCACATTGTGTGTTTTGTGAATGTGTTTAATATCTGGGGTCAAGAGCTGCGTTCAAAGACCTTGAAAAACGAACTTTTCCTTTAAATGCAGTCTTGTGATAGTGACATCAGCAGCCCGCTTTTGGCTAGTCATCCCTCAGCTGATGTCCTACAGGAATCTCACTCAAGTCAATTTACACTCACTTACACCAAAAAATAGCGGAAGTCCTATGATAATTCCTTCAAAGTAAAATCATAAGACCGTATCATTCAGGAAAAAGCTGATAGTATTACAGCACCATTTTCATTTGATGCACACGTGATTCACACTTATATCACCACATATCACAATGAACTGCATGTTCCAAGATTTAGACCTACTCACTGTCATACTGTTCACTTTGTCATATTGCAAATCAGTTCACCAGAAACTTAACATGCTTTATTCATATACTGTAGATCTCATATTTTCATATTTTCTTCTTACAGTAGGCCTACATTACAACATTTCATTTTCTTCTCTCACTCTTTTGTTTTTACAGTATCATATCATCTGTTACATGTTTTAATAATAAAAATCAAAGTGTTGTTTTTTTTCCTCATTGGTTGACTCTAATTTCATCTGCTCTTCCACATTTTGGTGCTTTTTTAAACTTGGAAGATTTTTTAATCTCATCAGAACAAGTCATCGTCCCTAATTTTCTTATCTTATGTGTTATCTGTTTTATTGTTTTGTTACTTGTACAAATTATTGAGCCTGTAGATAGTGATTGTCCACAAGTAATCTAGTATGAGTAAATGCAGGCATGCATTTTGTTTTATATTGGTATAGAATGATGTATGATGGTCTCCCACCAGTCCCAGCTGATCCAGTAGATCATTGAACTGTGCTATTTCACCTAAAAGGATATAATATTTCAAGTTTTATATGCTTTATGGAGAGTGGATTTTAGGGCTAACAAATTGATATTTGATGATTTGATGTTGGATCAAAATAACACAGTTGTGTGTTTAATCTTAATGTGGTAAACTTCCTCAAGGATAAAGCCTGTGGTGACAATAATAATAATGATAATACGTGAGAAAATGAGAGTAAGGTATTTTGAGAAATAAATCTTAAACACATTATTTTTTTTTTTTTACTTGTGTAGTTTGTATTTAAAACCAAAGAGCCATCAATAGTTTTATTTTGAAAATCTTACCCGGAAATGTACTGCGTCACTTCGGGTGAACTGTCGGTACCTGCGCTCTTCACTTATTCTCAGTGCGTCAACTCGTCAAATTGGATTCATTTCAGCTGTGGACGTCTTTAACAGAAGAAAACGTCCACCACCAGGCTCTCAGGACCAGATCTGGATTTTTCCATGTGCAGTGGTGATCGATGAACTGTTCACAGTGACTTTTAATCATTTGAAATATTACTGCCTCTAGTACTTGTGTTAGTTCGGATGGGTGCACGTTACTGCGGCCCGTAGTTTTGTATATGTCTCTTAGACTCGCCTAAATTAAGTGGTTTACTTGTGGACCCTGACGAGGTCTGTCCAGTCCATCATCATCATGGCCGCTGCCACCTCCACCCCTGCCGCCACCAGCGGCCGCTCCAGCCGCTCCGCAGCCCGCCGCAGCGCAGTTACCGGCCTGCCCACAGTCAGCACCAGTCCGACCTGCTTGTCCCGCATCCAGGAGAAAGATGAGCTTCGACACCTCAACGACCGCCTTGCCAACTACATCCAGCGGGTCCAAGAGCTGGAAAGCGAACGGTCCTCCATACTGCTTCAGCTGGAAGAGAAGGATGAATCGAAAAGCCGGGAGATGGGCAACGTGCGGCGGCTGTACGAGGAGGAGTTGGCCGATGTCAGAAAGTCCCTGGACGGCCTGGCCGGAGAGAGGGCCCGCCTGCAGATCGACTACGGGAATCTCTGCGATGAGTACAGGAAACTTCAAGCCAGGTAGTAACGTTAGCCTTACGCTGAATACCACCACGCAGGTGTCGGAGTTCTTGCACAGGACTCCACTCAAAAATCTACTTATGTAATGAAATCTATCTTGGTTTTGATGCACACACGTGCAGAAGAAGAAATTTCTAAAAAAAATAATAATTAAAAAAAAAAAATCTTTAGTACCGCTGTATAAGTGGGGATCAACACACTCAGCGCAGGTATCCCACTGTTAACAAAAACTAGTCAAATCATTTTATAGTGTTTTATCACACAAGGCAACATTCAATTGACAGTTTCCGTAAAGTGAGTTTGGTCTTTTGCCCACTTACAGCAGATATATGGCTTCAAATATGTAAGGTAGCTCATGTCAGCAAATGTCATCTCATATTTTATGCTCTACACAACATGAAATTTCAGCTCCACAAACAGCAAGGTTGACACAGATACAAAAGATAGTCAGTGTTCATTTCAGAAGCTGACTTTAAATGAATGAATAAATTTGTAAGATTGGAGTTCGTGTGGAGATCACAGGTTTATAACAAAATAAGGTTTTAGTAAATATTCATCTAAACTGAGAAGAGACTTGAAAATTGTGTGGTACATAGTGTGTGGCTGATGAGAGAGAAAACAAGCCAAGTTGTCTTCCATGGGTCACATAATTTTCATGATGTTCTCCTTCTTCAGGAACCAGAAGAAGGAGAGTGATCTGGCGAATGCATTGACCCAGTGGAGGAAAGTCGAGGTGACTCTGAGCTCCAAAGATGCTGAGTGCACCAAGTTGCTGTCTGAGAACAGGAGGCTCAAGGATGACTTCACTGACCTGCAGGGCCAGCTGGAAAACGTATGAGTTATCCCTCACTGGAGTTACAATGATGTATTGTCCATGTTTGAGGTCCTTAAAGCCCCCATCTCTAGATTTAAACAAAAAAAAAAAAAATTCTTAATTTTGTCAGCTCGTAGTAGTGTGATCAAAAAGCAGCAGACCTGCTGTAGTCTGAATGAGTTACAGTGCGTTAACATCACTGTTGTGTGGTAAATACTGCAGTGTTTACTTCTGACACTTTAATGAAGTAGCAACAGTTATTGACTGAGATTTTAATTTTACAAAACAAAAATCACATAACATCAGTCAAGTCACTGTAACTTCCCAACTTTATGTCAACTGTTCCCAGGATAAAATCAAAACACTTCACATACAGCAAACATATCACAACCTAACAAACGTGAGTGTGAACTGCCTTTTTAAGCTCAGTGAAGCAAATGGCGGTACGGATTCATTGTCGGAAGTGGGCTAATATAGTCAGATTGTGTTGGGTGTGACTGTATGTTTGAAGAGTGTGTGTGTGTCTGTGTCACACCAGGTGGAGGGCGTCCTGTCAGGAACCAAGAACCAGCTGAGCTCTGAGATCCTGAGGAGGGTGGACATGGAGAACCAAGTGCAAACACTCAAAGAACAGCTGGAACTCCAGAGAAACATCAGTGAACAAGTAAAATTAGAGTGGCCCTGAGAGCTCAGTGCACTGCAACTTAAAAAAACACATGCAGAGACACAAACACGCTGCAAACTCGGAAAACATCTTCATCAATTTGACAAAACAAACGTACTGCAAAAACTCAAAACACATGCAAATAAAGGAACATGCTGTAAATTGGTGGCATTGGATATCTAGTGCATCACAGCAAGTTCATCACTTTTTGTGATGCACTAGTTATTCAGTGCTTTTTACTTCGAAAGTTACAATTGGGCATTGAACAACAAGTCCCAGCCAGGTTCATCACATTTTAGTGTCCCCTGGAAACACTTCTGTTGTGTTGTAGGACTGAATGTACTAGGGCCCGACCGATATGGATTTTTTGGGGCCGATGCCGATATTAGGGAATAAAAAATTCCAATAAACGATATATCAGCCGATTAAATTTTTCAATTTAAAAAAAGATGAAATACCTGTCTTTGATGGCTTGAATATAGGAAGACACAACGAGGCACGTCATGGGAAACTTACTAAGTTACTGTTTATTTTACAAACTAGTTATAAACTTATGACTTACCATTGAGGCAAACCGCACGCACACACACACACACACACACACACACACAGTTTATTTCTGTGTCGTCTCAAACTGATACACGAGACTTGATTCTGATTTTGTAGGAGATCTTGGAGATCCGAAGTCGACATGAGAGCCGTCTAGTGGAGGTGGACTCGGGAAGGCGAAGAGAGTTTGAGAGTAAACTGTCTGAGTCAATGCAGCAGCTTCGCCAGGACCATGAGTGTCAGCTGCAGCAGTACAAAGACGAGATCGACAGGACCTTCAGCTCAAAGGTGCAAACCCTATCCTTGAGATGAACCTTTAAAGGTGTTCAGATTTATTACACACAAAGCTTTTTAAATGTTTCTTGTGTTTACATTGAAGTCTTTCTGCTCTACAGCTACAGAATGCTCAACAGGCTGCCCTTGAGAAAAACAACGTTGTGTCAGCCACCAAAGATGAACTAGACAGCACCAAGCTCAGAGTAGAGACGCTCAGCTCCCAGCTGCAGCAGTACCAGAAAGATGTAAGTTCAGTCTGACACGACGTGAAGAGATCCATTAACAAAACATCCGCTATGTAGAAAGTATCGCCCCCAGCGGCCATGTTGGTATCCTGGCTCCACGCCTCTGAGTCGTTGCCCAGATCTCTATTATGTTTTGTTTTTAGTGACTCAGATTTGTCTGGTTTTGTAGTTAGTTTCTGCCAGTTGTGAAAAAGAAAAGGAAATTGACACAGTTGCACTAGTTGGTGTAATTGTATAACTGGTCGAGGGGTGTGTGTGTGCGCTTTTGAAGGAATAGTTGAGGATGACTGTGAATCTAAACATGACGCTACAGTTAGCTTTGCAAAAAGACTGGGAACAACGGAAACGTCTAGCCTGGCTCTGTCCAAAGATGATGAAATCCACCTACCAACACTTGTAAAGTTCACTAATTTACCATGTTGTATCTAGTTTTAGTTAGTTTTTAAATGGTGTAAAAATGACATTTTTTCAGATGGTCTCTGCTGGTTGCCTGGTAATTACATTACCTTGTGGTGATGACACATGTCCAGCCACGTGACTTGTCTTGCCTCTCATTACAGCAGGGACCCGATTTATTGTTTTTCACCACAGTAACTATCATTTGACCCAGACTGACATGAATAGTGTGTGTGTGTGTGTGTATTTGTGTGTGTGTGAGTGTGAGTGTGTGAGAGAGAGAGAGAGAGTGAGTGAAGCCTGTTGTTGTTGTCGTCTATGACCTGCAGATTGTTTTGCTGTACTGTTTTGTGCCTAGTTGTGTTGTTACCTGGTGTCTACTCGACATAATGATGTCAAGTGTTTCTTTCTTCTCTCGGTCAGAAAATGGTGCTGGAGAGCCGCTTTCAGGACCTGGAGAGGACTCTGGACCGGGAGCGGGAGGTTTGGCAGCAGAAACTCATTCAGAGGGAGCAGGAGCTGCTGAACATGAGAAGCCAGATGTACAGTCAGCTGGAGGACTATGAGAACCTGCTGGATGTCAAGCTGGCTCTGGACATGGAGATCAATGCCTACAGGAAGATGCTAGAGGTGGAGGAACAGAGGTATGGCTGTGATCTACAGACCCCCCCTCACCTTTAGTGCAGATGAATCTTCATGGTTTAGTTTCTGCTCTGATCTGCATTGTCAGCTGTGAGACTTTATATAGGCAGTTGTGTGTGTTTCCACATCATGTCCAATCAGCTGAGTTTACCACAGGTGGACTCCAGTCAATGTCTAGAAACATCTGAGAGGATCCAGAGAAATGGCGATACCTGAGCTTAAGTATCTGAATACTTGTGTCAATGTGATATTTCAGTTTTACTTTTTAAGAAATTTGCAAAATTTTCTGATTCCCTTATCGATTCCTGTGGATTTTCTGTGTGTGGGGAAAAAGTTGGCTTATACAGGTTTTCAGTGTCAACAACGCAAATTTTATTATGAGTCTCTGATCACTGAACAAGATAGATAACTGCTCTGTAGTTGTTCAATCCCTCGAGGAGGGGGTGCTGTCTAACTCTTTAGGTTTCCCTTTATTCATCTACAAAAAAGAAGGGGGAAAAAAAACAAAAAAAAAACGGCGGCCGGAACGAGCCGGCTCTTTTAAGTGAACGATTGGGAGCCGGCTCATTCGAGATCGACACATCACTAATACGTACCTTCTCTGCTGAGACTGGGAAGCACTCGTTGACCGGCTCTGTAGAGCGTCAAACACATGGCATTCCTGATATTTAATGCCCTGATTCGTCTACAAATGTTTCATGTTTGTTTTGAAATTAAACCACTCTACCGTTCCCGTTCGCACTGACTGCCTCTCGCAAAAGCGTGACGTCATTGTTTTAAAGGCACGCAGAACTAAGTGGAAGGAAAGATAAGGGAATGGTTAAGCATAAAGGCAAATGATGTTGATGGATCGAACCGGTTTTCGACTCCCATCCCTACTGAAGACTTTCTGGCATCATCAATTTTAAAGTTTTTTCTTATAAATGAGAAGGATAGTATGGTACCTGGATTTCTGTTGACTGGCACTTGTCTCTCAGATTGCAGCTGTCACCCAGCCCCTCCCAACGCGTGACCGTCCCTCGAACACACGAATACAGCAGCCGTAAACTCAGAGGGAAGAAACGGAAGCACGAGGGAGCCTCTGGCAGCTCGCCTGCCTATAAAATGTCCAGTCGTTCCACAGACCGTGGAGCTGTGAGCGTGGCAGAGGTCGACATGGAGGGAAAATACGTCAAACTGAAGAACAACTCTGAGACAGTAAGGCTGTCATGCAGCTGGATATTGATTTTATTTTGGTTTTGACTTAAATTTAGTTTTTAGTATCATGAATTAGTTTGAATTTCCCAGTTTGTGAACATGTCATATGTTATCATCTACAGTCGAATGTTGGTGAAGTGGAGCTTCATTTTACAGGCTCCAGGAGACGTGTCAGTCATTCAGACCTGCTCCTGTGCAGTGTTGTGGATGATGGTGCGTTAACCTGGTGTAGAGTATATTCTCACAGTGGAGAACTCCTGAACACTTTGAGTATTGTCATACAGGCAGAAGACTGTAAGATACGGTACTCTCACACACCTCTGTGCATTATGAGCTTTATTAGTAGATGAAAAATGGGAATGAGCTGGCTCTCTTTAAAGCACAGTCTGTAACTTCCGCCTCAAGGGGACTCTCAATCAAAAGACGGCATGTGGAATCATGGGAGTTGTTGTCACCACCATTACCGTAAACCTTCTACTGGTTTGAATTCCTTCAGTGTCAGTGGTTCAGGAGCTGAATTGTCCACAGAGATGTCCTCTTCTCCACAGACCAGGGGATTAAAACAGAGTAGAAACTCTGAATAAAGCAGTTTGACATTTAAAGTCAATGTTTGAGCGACGCTGTACAAAGGACAGAGACGTCAGGGAAGAGTTTTAGCTGAGATTGATGCTAACCTTTGTTTTGATTGTTTCTCTGATAACTTATGAAGCAGAAAGCAGTTTACCTTTTTAAAAATCAGAGATTCAGGGCGGCTCTTCTGGTAGAGGACATGCCACAAAGACTTAGTCCTACCTGCAGCGGCCCTGGGTTCCAGTCCTATCCGAATAAAAACAAAAACACCCCCCTAAAAAACAGTAATTCGCTCTTCAGTGACACAGGACAGGACGTCTCCAGCAGCTGGGAGCTGAGCTGTCTAACATTTCCTCAGCTTGTTTCTCTGATAACTTCAGATCCAGACGTCCGACGACTAAAATCCTTCATCTGGTTCAAATATAGAGCTGAAAACCACCAAGGTGTAAAAAGTGTATGTGGCTTAAAACTAGATAAAAGTCAATGTTGAGCTTCTGTCAGACAAACACACTGACACATGATCATAGAGGATTAAAGAGCCCTGAGCTCTAACAGATCATTTCAGACAGAGGAGAAGAAGAAAACTAATGTCTTTTCAGAACATTAAAGCATGTTAATCTTTTTTTAGTTGACACCAAGAATGAAATGATGAACACTAAGAATGGCCATAATAGGTCCTCTTAAATCACTGTTCTTTTCTATTCATTGAATCAATAATCAGTCCTGAATTATGGGTCCAAGAATGTGAAACCAAATCACCCCCCCCCCCTAGTTTTTCATCATGTTTTTGTTTACTTATTTCAAACATGGATACTTCTTTCTATGATCAGTTTTCTATGCAACATTATGACAGTTTGTTTTTCTGTCATTCCAGGAGCACCCACTGGGTGGTTGGGTCGTCCGGAGGATGTATCCAGACTCTGGAGAAATCTCCTTCCACATCCCCTCCTCCTGTGTCCTGGCTGGTGGACAGACACTTACAGTGAGTAACTAGTGTTATTGTTTAACTATGTTTCCCTCAGTCTGTGTTACAGTCTCTAAGAGGGCGGAGGTAAAGACAGATACAGTAACTGGAAACCAACACTGACCAACTACAGAGAAGGGTCAGATTCAGGTTTAGGCATGTAAATTCAGGTTTAGGTCAGGGGTAGGGTAGGGTGGTCAGTTGTGATGGTTAAACAGGTCTCCATCAATACAGTATAACGTGTGTGTCTGTGTGTCTGTGTGTGCGCGTGCATGCGTGTGTGTGCATGCACCTGTCAGATCTGGGCAGCAGGTGCAGAGGTGGAGGCTGACTCTGGGGACCTGATTCTGCAGGGCCACAGGAGCTGGGGCCCTGTCACTGATGTAAGGGTAGTCCTCCTGAACCCCAACCAAGAGGTTAGTGAACCAAACTGCATCTCCCAGAATGCACCTGAGGCCTGTACTACGAACCATGAATAAAGTTCTTAATATGATATGAGAAGAAACACTGATACCTTCAGGTAAGTTCAGTTATAACCACACGCACAAGTGATATTCAACAAGGTGAAATATGAACAATATGATCACATGGCTAGAATAAAAAATATTTCTAAATATGATTCCTATTAAAGTCAGATTAAGGATATATTGTAAATAAGTGGATGGATTATCATTAAGTTTCTTACTCAGTATTTTCACTCTTCAGTCTGAACAAACTTATGAACATGTGAAGCAGATAAAACAGTTAAAGTTAATGTCAGACTGTTTTTGCTGCAGAGAGGAGAGAAAAAAAAGTAGTTGATGTCTGATGAGTCAGTCTGACTGAAATGTTTAAAAATTATAAATCAGCTTTATAATCATGGGAAAAATTCAACAGGATGTGGATCATTGTTCTAATCAAAGACATCAGAGGTTTAGTTTTTATTTCCAGTTGTGGTCAGAGTCTCATAATGTTCTAAGCTGCAGTGATGAAGAAGAGAGTAAGAGCTTCATCACCGTCAGGAATCCTGTCGATTTTTAAAGAATCTGTGTTCAGGTCAAATGAAGCTAAAATAGGTCAACATTGGTATATTATATATTTGAACACAATTAGATTTATTTTCTTGTCATTGACCTTTTAAAAATCAAACCCTCAATATAAATATCAGTGTATCTAAACCAAAATATTTGTCTCTGCTACCTGTCAGTGCTGGATGTAACTCACTGTAGGAGTCATGTGATGCCTTTCAGGAGGTGGCTGAACGCAGGGTGTGTATGCAGAGCAGAGGTGACGAGGAGACGGAGCTGGAGTTTGATGAAGAATTCATCACAGGCAGTGACATCCAGCCCTTTCGGAGACAGGTAAACACACTGAAAATAAAATACAGGTTCCATCACCTCAGTGTGTTCTGTAAAGAGTTGTATGTTTGAAATGTGATGTCACCTTTTTTTTTCCTGCTACACTGAAGCCAAAGAGGAAGAAGAAGTGTTGTTCTGTGTCTTGAGTGCAGAGCACACGGTGTGCTGTACAGTAGGTGAGGAGGGTGATGGTAGCCCACTCAGGCTTCTCCCCTCTGCTTGTGCTTGTACCCAGTGTGTGTTGCTCTGTGTGACAGTCACTAAATGCATGGCTTAGGGATGTTAATAATTAACTGTTAAACCATTAACCGACAATAAGAATTTTGAATGATTAATACTATCAGTTAAACAATTTTTATATATATATATATATATATATAAAGTCTTGCCACTTATCCATTTTGTAGAAACAACAGCTTATAACCTGACTTTTAATTAATCCATTGGTTTTAGAAATGGCTCATATGAAAGCTAAAACCCTCCCAAATTATGTTTAATATACTAAAATAAATTTGCTTCACTGAAGAAAGATTGATCATTTAATGAATACAGAAAGGTCAGATTTTGGCAAGACAAAAGTTTTGTTGACCTACAGAGAGTAATGTGAAAATTGAACAACTAATTTACTTCAAATACAAAAATATGTTGCATAACATCAGTGAATTAAGTAGTGGTGCTGTGAGATCCATATTTAATATCTTGTATGACTTCCATGACCTTGAAGGACTGCATCCATGCGGTTCGACAATGATTTATACAATTTATTGATGAAGTCATCAGGAATAGCAAAGAAAGCAGTCTTACATGCCTCCCAGAGTTCATCAAGATTCTTTGGTTTCGTCTTCCATGCTTCCTCTTTCATTCTACCAGAGACATGCCCAATGATGTTCATGTCTGGTGACTGGGCTGGCCAGTCCTGGAGCACCTTGATCTTCTTCGCCTTGAGGAACTTTGATGTAGAGATGGAAGTATGCGATGGAGCACCATCCTGCTGCAAAATTTGACCCCTTTTATGGTTGGGAATGTAAGAGGTAGCTAATACTTCTTGATATTTTAGGCTATTGATATTGCCTTCCACCCTGCAAATCTAGTTCCAGGAGGAACATGAGGAGCACTGCCAGAGCCCTACAACATGACCTCCAGCAGGCTACTGGTGTGCATGTTTTCTGACCAAACTGTCAGAAACAGACTCCATGAGGGTGGCATGAGGGCCCCACATCCTCTAGTGGGACCTGTGCTCACAGCCCAGCACCCTGCAGCTCGACTGGCATTCGCCAGAGAACACCAGGCTGGCCACTTTTAGCAGGTGCTATCTTTATCTCTATCATTCCTGGGACATCGGTACCATCTGAGCGGGTATTCTCCGCCGCAGGTCTCACAGTTAACAGACTCCACACCAGTCTAGCCCCTCAGCATTTCAACGTGTTGCTATTTCTGAACAAAAACCAGTAGACAAGCTATTGAGGACTGAGGTAGGCGTGATCTGTTTTTGTTAAACTGTTAATACATTAGAAAGTCTGGCTACTATTTGCTATTTATTTTTATTATATAGTTATAAAATATTTTCCTACACGGGAGATCTAGGCTATTCAGCCAGTTCTGCACATGTAAAAATAAACGCTTTCTTTTCTTTTTAAATTATTTTTTGGGGCATTTATGCCTTTGTTCTGATAGGACAGTGAGAGACAGGAAAGTCAGGAAGAGAGAGAGAAGACATGCAGCAAAGGGTTGTGGGTCGGACTTGAACCCATGGCTGCTGCGGTTAGGACTAAGCCTATGTGGTACGCGCTGTACCAGGTGAGCCACCAAGGTGCCCCGAAATAAACCTCTTCTTATGCAAAAAAAAACCCAAACATTTGTTGTATTGGTATTTTTATAAATGGGTCACAGACACTTGTCCATTCTAAATAGTACATTTAAATCTTGTCGGTTAACGAGCTTCAGTTATAGGTCAGAAAAAAAAGAGCATCCCTAGCATGGCTTGTTTATTACATGTTGGATTTGCTGCAACATACTGAATGTATTTGGTTGAAGACCAGGGTCTGCCGTTAACTGGTCTCATTGATGACTCTAGATAACTGCTATCATGAAGCTGCTTATGTATTTCACTTGGGGTTAAAACCTTCCCCTCACTGCATGTTTAAGACTAACCAGACTGTCTATACTGTGAGACCAGCATGATGATCACGCTGCTTTTTACTCCAGGATCTGTCCAAGGAGGCGAGCTGTGCCGTCATGTGATTGTATCCATCTCCTGCTGTCCTTCACATCTGCCTGGAAAACCTGGACTGGCTCTGGCCTCTGAGCACAATCATCTGCTGTCCATTTTGTGAGAATATATGAGACAACACTGGAACCAGAGCCAGGACACTGACATCTTAGTTGGACTGAGGAGCTCAGACGCCTTAAAGCAACATTACCGACCTCAGTGTTCCTCACTCTAACTGCACAAGATGAGATCTGAGCTTCACCTTGATAACATCTCATTTAAATGTGTGTGTGTGTGTGTGAAATAAAATTGTTAGTGTGTGTGTGTGTGTGTACATATATATATAAAATAAAGTTTTCTAAACAAATACAGTTCATTTGCACGCTTGGCTCTGAGATTAAAGACTCACTCACTCAGGATCATAAATTCAGAGAAAGCAAAGGAGCTCACATTATGCACAGGATGGAAATATTAATACATTTCCTATGTATACTATATATATGTAGCTTTTAGCATTTTCTCATAAAAAAAATCTATCTTGGGAAAATATACATTTGAAATATGTTAGTGGATTTTTCAGCTCCAAAGCTAAATTTAGCAACATCTGTTTTACGCTGGACCAAGTCACTTCTAGATGTGATAGTTATATCAACTCTACACTGTCAAACTTTTGTTGTCAGGAAGTGAAAATATTAATTTGGAGATCTTTATTCAATTTTTGAAAGTTGAAGATTCCTGGTCAGGTAAAAAAATATTAATTTGATTACTGTAAAACACAGCAACAACTATTTACATGAATACATGATATTCAGTACAAACATCAACCCAGTCAGGTAAAACATAATCAACTCCTGAGGCAACAATAATTCCATTTAGCTCAGAAGACCAAACTTAAAAAAAAAACAGTTTCAGGATTTTGTATGGTCATGAATTTAATAGTTTTTACATGAAATTGACATGAACTGGAAAATTTTCTGGAATTTGGTTGAGTTGGTGTGGAAGGACTCTTTTTACCACATCCTCTCACTTCCCTGCAGATAGTTTTGATTAAATTTGTCAAAGATTTGACATAATATCTGTGTCTGAGATTTCTGCCTCCACCCCAATACAATGAAGGTGAATGGAATTTCATTAATGGTGCTCACACTACTGAAAAATGACACTGCACAGAACATAAGTGTGGGTCCTCCAGTTTTCATGTGTGTTGTCAATTTGTGCCAAAGAAAATCCAAAAAGCAGAAATTTTGAACAAGCTGGAGAAGTTAGTACATTGACATGAGATTCAAAAAGAGGCTGATGGAAACAGCCCTGATTGTATGTCTCCAGAACTAAGAACATTACTGTCACTGAGTAGCTCACAGCAGCTGCTACCAGAGGCAATCTTGACTAGCGCCCTCTGGAGAATGAGGAAAAGCAACATTGGGTAACTGACGTCACAGAACAAGGAAGGTCTATTCCATTTTGCTCAATACAAACCATGTGAAATCAAAAACGGTGCCTCTCACCAACTAGAATACTGTGGCCTATAGTTACTGTATTTAAATTGATGAACATTTTCCACCGAACACCTGCTAAAGTAATGACATTCCTAGAAGACTCAGCTGTCCCTACTTTTTATGTTAGCCTGCTAACATGCTAAACTAAGACAGTGAAAGTGCTGAACATCAGCATGTCGGTTTGCATACATTAGCATATAGTTTTCAGTAGCTAATGCAGCCTCACAGACCTGCTAGCATGGCTGAACATTGATTGAATATAGTTCAGTAGTGTTGCAGTAGCTGCTCTTGCTGCTCTGCTGTAGATAAAACTGCCACTCATCAGTGCATGACTCCAGTTCACCAGAAAGTTCATGTAAAGGGTAAAAAAGAACATGCACAGGTTCAGCTTTTGCCAAAAATTTGTTTCAGTGTTAATATTTTTAATATGTAAATATAACTATCAACACTTTTCAGGAACTCTTTTTTCCACAAGGTTTTTCCGCTGAAAGCTGTTTGTGATTATCCAGAGTAACATGAATACTTTCTGTAAATACTAAACAAACAAATCCCATTCTTTGTCATCAGTGTGGAGGCAGAAATCTCATGACACCTGGACAATAAAACCCAACTGTCTCCATGGAGATTTACAGTCAGCTGTGTTGTGAATGATGAGCAGAGCCTTGTTGAATTGTTTGTATGTGAAAGAATGAATCAAACTGAACAGCTGATAGCGGTCAGATGGATGACGTGCTGACCAAGTCAGCCAGATCAGCCAATCATGTGGCAGGAGTGCAACATATGCAGGTACAGGTGAGGAGCTTCAGTAAACATTCACATCAAACATCAGAATCTCAGTGACTCTGACTGTGACTGTGACGTGATTGTTGGTGTCAGACGCTGGTCTGAGTGTTTCTCAAACTGCTGATCTCCTGGATTTTCACTTACAACAGTCTCTAGAGTTTTTACTCAGAATGGAAACAAACAACAGAAGCATCAAGTGAACAGCAGCTCTGTGTTGATGACAGAGGTCAGAGGAGAATGGACAGAAAGGCTACGGTCACTCAGATAACCACTCTTTACAACTGTGCTGAGCAGAAAACCTTCAGAGTGAACAACACGTCCTACCTACAACAGCAGAAGACCACATTAGGTTCCACTTCCTGTCACCAAGAATAGAAACCTGAGGATGCAGTGGACACAGACTCACCAACACTGGACAGCTGGTCTGATGGATCTGGATTTGTGCTGAGGCAGCAGATGGTAGGGTCAGAGTCTGAATCCATGGAGCCAACCTGCCTTGTGTCAACAGTCCAGGCTGGTGGTGTGATGGTGTGGAGAATGTTTTCTTCTTAATACCAATCAATAATGGTCTGAATGCCACAGTCTATCTGAGTATTGTTGCTCACTGTGTTCATCCTTCATGGCCACAGTTCACCATCTTCTAATGGCTCCTTCCACAGGATCATGCTCCATGTCACAAATTGGTTTCATCAACATGACAGTGAGTTCAGTGAACTTCAGCAGCCCCCCCCAGTCTCCAGACCTGAATCCAGTAGAAAACCTTTGAACAAAGATTGGCAGCATGAATGTGCAGCTGACAAATCTGTAGAAATGATGTGATGTAGTCACGTCAACATGGACCAGAGTCTCAACATCTGGTGGATCCATGACCTGAATAACTGAGGAACTACCCAGTGTTATTGTGGTATTCCCAATAAAGTGCTCAGAGTATTAGAAAATAACCACAGATGAGTTGGTAATCTTGAGTTAATTCCATGTGGAGGAAGAATAACTGAATCTTAATAGATTAGTCCAGAACACGACACTTTTCTGGTTATCAGTGTGAATTACACATGTCCACAGTTTCCATAGTGATGTACTTGTTCCTGGCTCTAAGTTTCCACAATAAGTCTGGTAGGGGAAAAGGTTGCAGTGGCTGGTGTAACAGTCATCCAGCCCACCATCCCTGACTTCAACTCTGCTGCTGTGTCAGTGAGCTTTATGACTCCCTCTCCTTGTATCTGAGGTATGTTCAGAATTGTGGAATCTGGTCTACACCATGGTCTCTTTTTTGGTGGCTTTGCTGAGGGTGTTTATGGACAGGGTCTGTTGGTTATGTGTGGTGTGGCCAGACAGGGGAATCTGGAGGCGCACTCTCTGGTCGGTTTTCTTCCACGTCCTGAACAGATGCATGTGGTAGCGTACAGATACCTGAGAGACAAACCAACATACAGTTCAGTAAAGTTTCATACTTAAGATGTTACCAAGGCTGTGATTAGGGGTGTCGTGCTATTTGCTTAAGTACTGGAGTGCACATATGCAGCATTACATTAGTCTGACCAAACAATCAAATGTTAGACTGTCCTGAATAGTTTAGAAAGTCATATATTGCAACTCATTAATTTACACAAAGACTCAAGAATGAAATGCTCATTAAAAATGATTAGAAAAATAACTGAAAACAATTTGGCTTTTCTAATAGTAAAACACTGAAACTCAGCAAATTAAACTCATAGGCTAAAATTATAAACACAGGGTGAATGGTTGGTGTATTCAAACTAGTTAGTGCTTATCAAATATTTCATAAATACTGCCAGAGGAGATCCAGTTCAACTGGTTTTGCCTTTGCTATCCTCTTTTTTTTGTCCTCAGCTGATTGGTGGTGTCTCAGCCAAGTCCTGACATATGGAGAGGGGTTCCAGAAGCGCAGTGGAGACCCTTGCAATTTCACAAACATGAGAGATGACACATGACACATGTGAATCTGTGATCGGTTGGATGTTATTATCAAGTTCATGTGGCTGAAGTCCCTCTTGCATTCAGCTGTAATGCATAGAATCAATGAGGTACAATTCATCAGTGCCTTCAGTTCTGGTGGAACATGCACCCCACCACCCAATTCACTGTGTAGGCCTCTTGTTTGTTCAAGCAGCTGAGTGTACTTCATCTGTGGGTCAACAACATCATTGGCTGTGCAGGAGCAGCCATTGATCACTCTTATGGTGATTATACACTTCTGGATGTGGCTTATTAGACTTGTCAAAAACTGTTTCCGATTGATGTCCATAACTTTGGCCTTGTCTATGTTGGCCTCAAGAGTTTTGGTATCTGGTGATTCTTTCATTCGTTCATTTGGACTTGTATGCTTCTCCTGATGAGTTTGTCCACGTATGTGATGGAGATATTGCACTTCTGTAAGCACTCAGACAAAAGGGCCGATTCGTTTAGGATGTCTTACATGATGGCCAAATCTCTGAGGAGCTGCTTGGCGCACAGTTTTCTCTGCAAACCATCATATATTTTCTTGTCACTGTGGGTTTTACATTCACTTGACATCCCTTGACAGAAGTGTGTGTTCCATGCTTCAGTGCTGTTCCAAGCTGCAGCCACAGCACAGAACAAGCTGGCCACCCACCATGTATAAAGAACACGCCTTATTTCCACCAGGTCCACATATACAAAATGGGGATTGCTGCTTTTGCTGGACTCTCACCTCAAAAAACTATCAATGTGCTTTTGTAACTTACGGTGGTGGACTTGCCAATTATTATAGAGATGTTCCCTTTTATCTCTTTTATGTGGCTGCAAATCTTTTTGCGCATCTCCCCAGCAACATGACTGATTATCTGTGCAGCAATGTGCCTTGAAGTTTTTCCTCTTTGGATTTGGAGAGGATTTGTTGCGCACCAATGTGTGCGCATGATTGTTTGTGTTCAATTATTTTATTTGCAGCGATCGTAATTTTGCGCATTGCGGTTGTCACCTAAACTGGCAACACTATAGGACTACCACTCTACTGACAAACACACCCCTTGTGATTTGAAGGTGGTCAGACCACCCACTTTTGTTTGGCAACTTAATTTCCAATCTTTGCTGTCAAATCAAGCCATGCCGTCTGTTTATTTCTCCACATTTCCTCGTTCCACAAAGCTGGGTAGGAAGCCCTCCTTTCTCCAGCCTCATCTCTACCTCTGCCTGTTTCTTCATCTCCACCTCTGCCTATCTCTCCATCTCCACCTCCGCCTGTCTCTTCATCTCCACCTCTGCCTGTCTCTTCATCTTCATCTCCACCTCTGCCTGTCTCTTCAGCCTCATCTTCATCTCTCACTGGATGTGTCCATTTCTCTCTCTCCCATTCTCTCCCTGTGGGATATTTGCCCTCTCTCTCTCTGATGGGCTCTCACTCCCTTACTTATTCTCTGGTGTGAATTAGTAGCAAGTTGTCAAAGGACGAATGTCAGAGCCATAGATACATTTTTTTAGGCTTCCATATTTCCTCAAATAAAAACCAGAAGTCAAATACAATCTGGGTCTTGAACACGTGCTTGCACGAATTAGTGAGGTTTGGTGCCAAATAATGGCCTGGAAAAATAAAGGGTGATAAACTCCTGATGGCTGTCAAATTATTTGCGTAACAACTAAACATAATGTATATTTCCATCCCTTTAATTGAATAAATTCAACAATGTAATCATGCTATATTCAACAGTGGCACAGTGCCTGTAGAATGCATTTAAGTCTCAGCCAAACTGTATTACTAGTAACATACAAGCGCCACAAGTTGGCAGTAGCTAAGTTTCAAGTGCAACATCAAAACTTTGCAAGTCAGTGAGTTTTCCACAACAAATTCCTGCTAATGTTTAACAATGAGTCCTTCCTCAAAAGAAATTAAGGATTTCCGTGCTCTGAAACGTTTGAGGGCTTTTAATTTTAAATGGATACAGGAAGGGTTGTGTTTGTATTGCATAACATAGTAACTTAAAAATGGAAAATGGGAGCAGTTGAGATAAATAAAGAGCAGTCACTATTTGAAGGAATATGGTATTCATGTGAATGAATGAGAAAACAGCAACATTAATGTTACATTATAATGCTAATTTTAGTTAGCATTAACCTAGTAGAAGCCAATCATTAGCTATATTCACCATTTGCTAGCCTAAGGCATGGGCCTGGTGCCAAGTAAGTTTTTAACACTGTTTATAACTACATCATCATAATATTTTAGTTACCTTTTTAGCTCTTCCAAAAAGTGAAAGGACTACACCCATGGTTGTGATGACCACTGAGCAGAATCCATTCACTAATGAAGACCCTGAGATGTGGTTAAAAGCCTAGAAAAAGCTTGAGTGAACCTTGATTATTTTTCATACTACTGTGTCCCAGGTCAAGAATGAACTTTGGCTCTCAAAGTTAGTTTTAATTTTGTTTGTGACTTTTGCATTGAAAAGGGACTGATATAAAGAATGACAGTATACAGTAACAACTGTAATGTGATGATCCCACAGATAATTATCACCAACCGCACCTCTCTCCACTCATTGATTTGGTTTTACACATGGCTGGATTATACTTAAGGTTAGGAAGGGTAAAATATGAACAAGCAGTATAGACCCTGAATGTACCATGGTCCAGAGGATGTATATGGTAAACAGAGCCAGTGTTAGGACCAGCAGCCCCAGGGCCTCCATGCCGTTGGTGTAGTAGAGGTCCATGGCTCCCTGGACACAGAGCCATCCTGACAGACTGGCCAGTGGTGTGATGAACAGGAAACATACTGCATCTCCACACAGAGTCCTCCTCTGTTGATGCATGGATGGAGAGCACAACCACTGTGGGAGGACAAGGGTGAAAGCTTGTTACATAATAAAAGACAAGTTCAACCCAGGACATGACAGAGGGGCTTGGTGTGGATATACTGACATGAATTTAACACGTGGGCTGAAAAGTATAGTATTTGGCCAGAAGGTGGTGCTAAATGACTGGATCCTGTGAATGGTTGCATGTAAGTAGTAGTAGTATTACAAGTAGAATTGTAGTACTAGTAATAGTAATAGTGAAGAAGTAAATAGTATTAAAAACCCTACAGTATCTACTGTGCAGAGAACAGGATAGCAACAAGATATTATATCATCATAATACAGATAAACATTAATATCAAACCAGGTCCATCATTGGGATTTCAAAACTAGTCCCATCAATTATATGCAGTTTTTATATTTCTTTAACTTTAACACTCTGTACTCTGAACTTTTACAAAGAAAAAGTAGCAATACCACAGAGTAGAAAGGCCTCTATTTGGGGTGCCTGGTGGCTCACCTGGTAGAGCTCAGTCCTTACCGCAGCAGCCATGGTTCATGTCATCCCAACTGTCTCTTCCCTGACTTTCCTGTCTCTCCCTCACTGTCGCTGTCACAATACAGCCAAAAAATAACTTAAAAAGAGGAGGGCCTCTATTCAGAATTTTGCCAAAAGTAAAAATCATACTATTATAACTAGAGAGTGTGTGTGAAATTTTGAAGGAACCTATTTCTTAATGAGGTCTTTAAAATGATACCAAGTTCTGTTGTTCAGCTTTTTTTCCCCTTGTGCACATACTGCGTGATATACAACACTGTGGCAAGGCTCTGGTTCACTACAACTCCACTGAATCAGAGGTGATTTACTGTAGCTCTACTGTGCTACTGTTTTATTCCTAAAAACAAGCCAACAACAGTAATAGCACAGTCACCAACATGTGAAGACGCCAAACACTTGAGCATGATACCTTATATAATGACATTTAGGCTACAGTATATTTCTATGCCTCACCTCATCTGTTTGCAGGCTCAGAGTGAAACACAAGTACCGTAATATTTAAATATACAATATTACTATTCCTACACTACCTTATGACGCTTTTGTATGTGTGTGTGTGTGTGTGTTCTTTGCACAAAGTATTTATGATGGGTTAGGCAAGAGGTTGAAGGGAAATCAGGGAAACTGGTGGGAAAAGTAATAGAAAGGGTCAAAAACCAAAAAATGCCCAGCCTTACCCACTCATCACCTAGTTTTTTTTTATTTAAAAGAAGTCACATATAAATTATGTTATTGAGCTTAAACAAACTGGAATCGTTTCGTTTTCGTTTCGTTGTCTCCCGCTTATCCGGATCCGGGTCGCGGGGGCAGCAGCCTCAGCAGAGAGGTCCAGACGGCCCTCTCCCCAGCCACTTCCACCAGCTCCTCCGGGAGAATCCCGAGGCGTTCCAAGGCCAGCCGAGAGATATAATCCCTCCAGCGTGTCCTTGGTCGACCTCGAGGTCTCCTCCCGGTGGGACATGCCCGAAACACCTCCCCAGGGAGGCGTCCAGGAGGCATCCTCACCAGATGCCCAAACCACCTCAACTGGCTCCTCTCGACATGGAGGAGCAGCGACTCTACTCCGAGTCCCTCCCGGATGACTGAGCTCCTCACCCTATCTCTAAGGCTGAGCCCGGCCACCCTGCGGAGGAAACTCATTTCGGCTGCTTGTAGTCGCGATCTCATTCTTTCGGTCATTACCCAAAACTCATGACCATAGGTGAGGATTGGAACGTAGATCGACCGGAAAATTGAGAGCTTCGCCTTCTGCCTTAGCTCCCTCTTCCCCACAACGGACCGATTCAGCGTCCGCATCACTGCTGACGCCGCCCCAATCCGCCTGTCGATCTCCCGCTCCATCTTACCCCCACTCGTGAATAAGATCCCGAGATACTTAAACTCCTCCACCTGAGGCAGAGCCTCCCCCCCGACCCGAAGCGGGCAATCCACCCGTTTCCGGCTGAGAACCATGGCCTCAGACTTGGAGGTGCTGATTTTCATCCCGGCCGTTTCACACTCGGCCGCGAACCGCCCAAGCGAGAGCTGAAGGTCGGCATTCGATGAAGCTAGGAGGACCACATCATCCGCAAAAAGCAGAGACGAGATCCTCCCGCCACCGAAGCCAAACCCGTCCACCACCCGGTTGCGCCTAGAAATTCTGTCCATAAAAGTTATGAACAGAACCGGTGACAAAGGGCAGCCCTGGCGGAGTCCAACTCTCACCGGGAACAGGTCCGACTTACTGCCGGCTACGCGAACAGGGCTCACACTCCTTTGGTGCAGGGATTTAATGGCCACTAACAAGGGGCCATCCACCCCATACTCCCGGAGTGCCCCCCACAGGGAGCCCCTGGGAACACTGTCGTAAGCCTTCTCCAAATCCACAAAACACATGTGGACTGGATTGGCAAACTCCCATGCTCCCTCCAGCACCCTAGCAAGGGTAAAGAGCTGGTCCACAGTTCCACGCCCAGGACGAAAACCACATTGCTCCTCCTCAATCTGAGGTTCAACTATCGATCGGACCCTCTTTTCCAGTACCCTGGCATAGACCTTACCAGGGAGGCTGAGGAGTGTAATTCCACGGTAGTTGGAACACACCCTCTGGTCACCCTTCTTAAAGATGGGGACCACCACCCCGGTTTGCCACTCCAAAGGCACATCCCCCGATGTCCACGCAATGTTGCAGAGGCGTGTCAAACTAACAAACTGGAATCAGGCTTTAAAATAGTTTAAACGGTTTAATGTCAATTGCCCAAAGTTACTAAGATGTAATTCTTGAAAAGGTACATAGGTTTTACCTTGATGTCTTCACTTTCAAATTATTCCCAAGCTATAGTTCTCAGGTGGAGTTTGTTAGAATCACAGTATTACATCAATGTGGTACAACAGACTTGCAGCATGATTTTGTACAACAACCATGTATAAACGCACCATATCACCCAAAAGTGACAGTGAAAAAACACCTAACTACCAAAACTGAAAACAGAGGACTAAGACTCGTCATTCCTAAACTGACCAAGCTGTTAATACAGTGACAGTTAAAATAAGTTTGACCGTTTTCTGATGGTTGCAAATATTATTAATGTGAATGGGTAATATTAATAATGGCTGTAAACAAGGAAACAGGATCACTTCAAAATTCATCACCCTCATTCTTCATCAACACCCAAAGATCTCTCCATTATACTGTTAGCTAACAGTCAGAAGACCTGCACAACACCACAGGTGTTTTCAATTATTCAGATGAATTAGAGAACTGAGGTCAATATAAAAATAAATAAATGGAATTACCTGTGAGTTTAGAACAGACCCAAACTAATAGCTCCCACAGTCTCCAGACCAGGCAACAATCAATTCTCTACATTTCCAGCCAACACTATGCATGTGTAGTAATGCCTGATAGCAGGTTCATGCTGTTCAGTGTGAAGCTTAACCTGGTGGAGCACATGGTGCTTAATCAGCAGATTATGAGCTGTGACCACACATGCAACAGAAGAAGTTGAAGAGCAGCAGGGGGAGGAAACACCATCTAATCTGGCTCACAGGCTAAGTGGCTTTAGGGGTACAAGTGGTCCAGCTAACAGCACCAGGTCCTCCAACGTGAAGGCAGTAACTCCCACTGACTGTGACTTACTGTCTCATTGAAAAAAGAAGAGCAGCGTGTGACTGCCTTCACTCACTGAGCAAGAGATGTTTAATTTTTACTTCTCATCAAGACTCATTCAGTTAGCTGTCAGTAGTGGTTTGTACTGCTAAGGACATTATCTCATCCAGTCAGTCAGGACTTTAACATTCATTCAGTCTCAAATATAATGTTTTCTTAAAAAAGTCTGTGACCTACAGCTGAGTATGACATTTTCATAGGTGGTTAAAAAACACAATCAGCCACTGGACATGTCTGGCCTGAACAAGACTGCAAAGTCAACATTATTAAAAAGCTGTAATCCTCTATCTCCACCTGTTCAGTGGAATCAAAGCACACAGATAGTTTTAACAAATACTGTAAAACCTTTTAAGAATTGAATGCTGAGGAACAGTGTGTTGATAAGTTGACAGTGTTGTGTACTGCGAGGGTCTACCTCAGTCAGAGGTTTTGGCAGGCGCTCCAGTGCAAACTGGTGGTAGCAGAGTTCACAGTGGCTGCTGTTGGAGGTGGTGAGCCAGTGCTCCAGGCAGGCCCGGTGCACCATGGCCAGGCTCCCAGAGCAGTCACAGGGAGACAGCAGCTGTCCGGAGGACCCGTCCTCATGGCAGATCCTACAGAACGGCTCCTCAGTGCACAGACTGGCACAGAAGAGACAAGAGTTATGTGAGAGGATAGTAGTCTACACCTGTATGTGGGGATGTCTGCTGGTGGTGTGAGTGGTTCTACATTGTGTGGAAGCTTTTCTCCTGTCATTGGCCACAAACAATGGCAACTGAACACCTAAAAGCCTCAAATGTTGCAAGACCACTCTATCAAGGGCACATTGGTAAAAAGCTTTACTGTACCTTATGTACAGTAAAGCCATCATGCTTCTCTTATTTATTTATTGGCAGAGAAGTAACATGAAAAGCTCTTTCAAAGTCATTAGGGCCGCGACCACTTCTGTATACTTGCTAAATTTAAAATTCTGTTCCAGGCTATATTCTGTTTCAATTTGTTGAGATGACAAAAAAATCAAAAACATTACGCACACTAACTCTGAACCAGTCTGACAGTCCCGCATCCACCATTGATGGAGAAAAGTGAGGACTGTTTGCCATAAACTATAAAAACCTAAATAAACATGATCCATTCACACCTCAGAGTGTGGGAAAAGTTTGGCCTTGATATGTGGTCAAACACTTTGAATCATCTTGAGAACCATTAAGACAGAATACTGTCCCAGAGGTGTCTTGTATAGCGGTGTCGTAAATCCTCCCATCACACTGTTCTACTGGGGTAATAGAAAGCTGTTGAGTTACCTGTCTGCATGTTCCTCAGTGGGCATGTCTGTGTGATGGTCCATTACTTCCTGGTTGCAGCTGTTGATTCCTGTTGAGACCTCCTCCAGCCTGTGTTTGGGCATTAATTTGACCTCCCCCACAGGGCTCAAAACCCACGGGCCGAGGGGTTCCTTTGCTGTCATGTCTGGTGTATGAGGGGCCATTCACTCATGTGAGGAGCATAACATCTGTTAGCATTCACAGAGACAGACAGGTACAACAGATACAGTTTTTCCTTTTATCATAGCATTCTTCATGCGTTATGGTCTGTGATCATAAAGACAACACATGAAAGATAACACTGTTATATTTATTGAACTGATGTAGAATTTTAAAACCAGCAAGACCAGGTCAAACCCTGGTATATGTCTGGACCACGTCTAGACACTGATTGAAGACATAGTTGAAAACTGTTGTGGAGCCACTGCAAACAACTGACATCATGGAGTCCTGTCTGTTTTCAGTCTAGTGTCGGCTGGTTTTAGTCTAGTGTTAGCTGGTTTCAGTATACAAATAAATAATAATGTTGTTCTTTTCTGTAGATAGGAAACTGTTAAAAGAAACTACATAATTTTATAGAGGGATATGTCAGTGGTCTACTGTATGCAAGCAGCCAAAAAAAAATTATGAATCTGTATCAATAAATAAAAGTTTTCATTAAAGAGGGGAAACAATTTGACAATGCAGTAAGAAATTTGCAGCCTGTTTAAAGTAAAACAATCATGTTTATTTTAAAACTTAGTTTTAGTGACTTGTGTTATCTTTGGCCAATTCAAGATATAAACGTCAAATGTCAAAAATTAGATTTCCACTGAAAACATCTTAAAATATTTTTTACAGCACTGACAGATTCTAGTACTAAATTTAGACAGGTTACCAGATAAAATGTAGATTTCAACTGTTCAACCTACTCATTTCATTTGCACCACAGCTCATTCTTGACTGGCTGAAATGTCACTGTTCTCTTTTAATTTCTAAATTAGTGTTAAAAAAAAACAGACAGGTGCAGAGTTGGCTCAGGTGAACATACACCTCACCTCATTTGGAATAATATGCCTGATAACAAGCTGGTGTTTATCACAGACATATGAGCACAAGCAGTGACACATGAAACAACACTGAACTGCTGCCACTTACACATAGGAGAGCTAATGACAGCTAAGCCAACAGGCTTCAAACAACAGCTTGTATAAAGTAATAAGTCAGTTTCCAACAGTCATCTTACCACCTGCTTGACATCCACAGTCACTTTGTGATGGTGTTTACTCCCACTCAGTAAAAACCATCCCTGTCCCTGTGTGTCCGTCAGAGAGTGTGTGTGTGGATCCTTCTCCTCCTGAAGCCTGCCAGCAGATTACCATGGTTGACGGATGGCAGTGAGAATAGTGAGGGATTAGACAGAGGGGAAAGTAAGGGCCAGGCCAGACAAATGGAAATCACATCAGGGTGAGTTACACCAAGCAGGAGCACCACCTCAACATATCCCCCCTTAATCCTGTTAGGGGGCTACAGGGCAGGCAGCGGAGCAAGCCTTTAACTGGCCTCCCAGCTCCTATGCTAATGTGGGCTGGTGTGGGCTGGAGCTGCTTCCATGGACAAGGAGGGACATGAGACTGTGTTGTTGTTGTTGTTGTTGTTGTTGTTGTTGTTGTTGCATCCTCTAAAATTTGTTCACAGCCAAGACATCGATCCGACACAAATGATGAATAATAATCAAACATGAATGAAACTAAACTCAAACTAAAATATTTGCCTAGGAACTTTGGCTCTAGTTTCACAAAAAATTATTACGAAGTAATATAAAAATTAAATATTTGTACTAAACTAGAAAATTCCAGGGAAATTTTGAGTGCCACGGGGACTACTGCCGGGATGAGTACATGATTTATTTCCAGTGTTCAAAAGTCACCCTGATCATATTCTGGTTTGGAGAAATGTCTTGATATAAAAGACTCTGATATAAAACAATGTCACATCCCTCCATCATGTATTATGTGGGAAATATCTCATAATCTGTGTTGTTTTTTTTAATAAAACAAGAGGCAACATGTCTTCAAACTGGCATTTAAAGGGTTAAAATCCTGAAAACTAATAAACATTTGGTAGGTTTGAGCAGAACTGAAGTGGTTTAAGAGATGTATGCAAAAATTTAGATATAATGAATGATTTATAGGCATTTTCTTTTGTGTGTCGTTTTTTGGACACGAGGAACCCCAGAGGGTCAAAATGTGGTTACGTGTGATAATAGACCTGTAACAGTAACTGACATTAGATTTTAAAAAATATGTCAAAAAAGGACACTTTCCTTGCAGAAATCCATACCTTCAGCTGTAAACAACGCCAATGATAAGCAATCAAAAAAGAAAAGTGAAAGGAAACCGTCCAAAAAGGTACAGAGGGACCCCTGAGGGTTAATAAATCCCATGAAACCGTATTTGAATATACCACTATTATGTTTTTTTCGGTGCTAAATTTAACATTACTGGGGCAGGAGAGCAACGCGACTAGAGTGAAGCGAGAGAGGGCTAGTAGCTTCTCCTCTCCTCTGTCTCAGCGGAGACCGTCACAAACTTCATTCACTCATTTAACAAAACAAAAAAAAGCAACGAACGAAGCAGTAAATGGACTTACATATTTGAGACCTACTAAATGTAATTTAAGACGCAACTGCGGCTAATGTAAAGCTAGCGGAGCTTGGAGAGTTGGGTTATCTGGTTGCTAGGCACGCACAACGCACACAGGTCAGGAGCTGCCGTTGCTATGGCATTGAGAAAATCTGCCCAGAATTTGCTTCTACATTGGGTTCAAGACAATTGCAAATTATGAGAACCGTTAATTCTTTTCTAAAACCGAAACACCGGTGACAGGACACTGAAGGCCAGAAGTTTCTTGACAGTCTCTATTTTATTCAGATTATCCTTAAAATGGAAGTGAGTAAGCTCAGTGGCGAAGACAGAGTGAGATTCTTTGAAAAAAAAGACGATTACATTAGGTGTCATAAAGAGTGAGACAGGTATTGCGGCTGGAAATCAGGCACCCATTTAAATTTTGTGCAGACCCTGCCTGTCAAGTTACATTTTATGAATCCCAACAACTATGTCTACATTTCAGAAAGATTATTTGTCTCCTTTTTACGGTTTGGCCGTGAGCTCGAGTATAAAAATAAAAATAAAGTTAATTTTTACTGTTTCACGTGTCACTTATGCAACTGACGCTGTCACTCTAACTTTGAAGAAAAAGTGATTTGCACTCCTCCTTTGAGTGCTCATAGTTTGAAAAGTTTACATGTTATGTAAAAACAGTTGTTGTGTTTTGGAGAGAGCAGAAGTTTTCCTCCGTTTTATAGTTTGAATCACATTTCTACTTGCAGGTATGAGAGAGCTGGGTGACTCAGAAAAAAGGTGAAATTTTGTAGAAAAAAGGTGAAATTTTGTGGGTTTTTAAAGAAAATTCCAATGCATTCCTAATGCATTATTTATTCCCAGTATTTTGGGAATAACTTTGGGAAAAATTGGAATTTTACCACCAAAAGTCATAGCACCTCTTTCGGGATCAAGACGCACGTTTTGATGTATATATTACCAGGGGTTTCTCAAAGCTGCTGGACGAGTTATGTGCCAAAATTTGGCGGAAGAATAATAATAAGCCCGAAGGAATATTAATAGATGCCCCAAGGCACTCCTCTCAGCTATTCTAGCTGTAGAGGAGTGCCTCGGAGCTGAGCACCTGTGGCACTAATAACACATATACCTTACTGCAATAATCAATTAGATCAAGACATCAGCTGTTTTTGGGTTAAGTACACTTACCAACATATTTTAAACAAAGTAAAACGTGTGTTTCTGTGAGTGTGAAATGTGTTCGAACAGAAACTCTTCCATTTATAGTTATAATCTGATCTTCACGTGAGCTCAGATAAAAGTCCTGCTGAAAAACAACTCTTGAGCAGAAAGGAGACAGAGGACTCTTTCTCTCTCTCTCTCTCTCTCTCTCTCTCTCTCTCTCTCTCCCTCTCCCTCTCTTTTCTAATCCTGTCTGTTATTCATTCCCAGGCTGCTCCTGACAAAGCCCAGGGGGAATGCACAACATTGGGAATTCCTTCATGAACAGACTTAGAGGATGGATAATTCCTTTGACAGCTGCAGGACAGCAGCTAATGGGGCCCCAGATATGCTGGATAAAAACACATATACACAGGGCCCCATCAGGCCATGCTGGAGAAAAGCCGCTTCCTGTCCTGTCTGTTGTGGGACGCTGCCTCTGGCTGCAGGTCTGGGTCTGCTGATGTTGTGTCTGGGCTTTAGTCAAGGTCTATTTGCAATCAGTGGAACCTTCAGCCCCCACCCCTCCCCATTTGCTTTGTTACTGTAGATGGGATGGGGGCCCTCTCTAATCCTGCTTAGGGCAGGAGCAAGGGGCCACTCTCCATTCTATCGATCCTTCGCTTCATCAGGTCCCATAATCAGTGTCGGAGCCAGACAGTTTTCATAGGGGTGTGACCTGTTTACAGGCCAATTCTCACTTTGGACTGGCTCAGGAATTGGAACAGGTCTGGAGCTGATCAGAGGTGATGATGATGTTTACAATGGTCAGAAAGTGTATATCTAAAACAAATTATGGATATACAGGCCATAAGAAAGAGAAACTGCCATTTTATTTATTTTATCATTATTATCATTATCATTTCTTTCTTTTTTTGTAGCTTTCCTCCATTTATCCTTTTATATTTGTGTCACACTAAGTCATATATAACCTTAATTAATCCAGTGTTAATCTACCAACTCATGTACCACAACAATCTAAGATTAAAGTTGCTTAAAAAAAAAACTCTGCGCCATTTTCCAATGACACACTGCAAAAACTCAAAATCTTACAAGTATATTTTTCTAATTTCTAGTCAAAATATCTCATCACACTTAATATAGGACAAAATCACCTAAAGAGTAAGATTTAAGTGAGATAAAGGAGCTTGTTTTTAGACAGTGCATCTTGAATATCTTGTTAAGTGAAACAGTCTTGAAAACATCTTGTTTTGAGTCATATCTCAGATGAAACAAGCTTTTTTGACATGTCATACGGTTTTTAAGCTGCTGTGTTATTTGTAAAAGATGAATCGTCTTGTTCCAAGAGATTTTTCTTTCTT